AACGAGTGTAACTTCATTTGCAGACTGCGAAGATCCCACAATGCCACGGTACGGTCGGCACTACCGGTGGCCAGTATATATTCACTAAACGGGTTGAACGATAGACAGTTGACCTCGGCCAAATGCGATTCGACTGTGTGACTAGGTCGCGTAGTGCAGCCACTTCGCGTGTCCCAAATCATCAGCTTCTTGTCATCCGCAACGGAACCAAAAATGGACTCATGCAGTGGATGCCAGCTCACGTCTTCGACCACACTTGTGTGCCCGGTGAAGATGGTCTGTGCGTCGATGATGCGTCCCTCTTTTGGAGTGGCGTTGATATCCCACATGCAAATGGTCTGTATAATCAAGGGGCAATATTGGTAGAAAATATATATAACGTAACAAGATGGTGTCCGTATGTAACAATCAGGAACAAAAAACCCGTAACATTTGCAACGCACGAACTACATGAAACGTGAAAACGGCTAGCGCATCAGACCCCTAAACTCTTTAGACCGTTTTCAAAATCCTAGGACAGAAACAGGACATGATTTGGCTGACGGTTCCAAAAAAGTAAAATGTAACAGCTGCAAAGTGCTTTGAGACGTTTTTCAGTGCCCAGTGATACACCTCGAAGATTGTTAGGAGAGCAGGCATACCTGGCACGACAGGACTTCTCTTGTGTGTACGAAAGTTTCTGACTCCATCAGTTCAATTCGTCGGAACTGATTTCTTCTCTCCTGACTGTATTCGTTGAACTACCGCACTTCCTAAGTTTCTCTTATGAATGCCAGATTGTTACACGTGGTAGCGGATGAGGAGATTCAAAGAAGTGCTATGCGCTCACAGTGTTTTCGCTCTGTTCTAATTAAACCAAGGATACCTGACATTTAAACTAAATTTTTATTGGTTTGTTAAACAGATGCTAGACCTATTATGTAAGTGCACCGTAATGAAAATCGAATATGAGCTGGATGCACGCAAATATGCATCAATCAAGCGACCTCCGGGAAAAACCAAACATCACAGAATTGATCTCTGATGGGGTTTTAGCTGATCTATCAAGACTAGTGTTCTGCATTGAACAAACATCAGCGCTGATCGATTCGTGACTATAATAACAATCTTTTCTTAATACCTGTACTGGATTACCGATTTCAAGTTGGGAAGAATAGGATGAATTAGCAGTTCAGTGACAGAAACCAACCAAGTTGAGTAATACTGCGGAATTCCAAGAATCTTGTCTATACGAGATAAACTATTCGATTAAATTAATTAGGTTTTATGAAAAATTTCACCGTAAACAAACCAATGGAAAGATGAACTGAAAAGCTGGGAAGTATTGTGTAAACCTTATGCGGTCCCATCAACAGTGAGAATTCGTATACCCAAAAGTGAGAATAGAACCCGGGACGTGACGGGCAGAAAGTATACTGTCCATCGGTAGTACTTTTATACTCAGAATCCTGCGAAAGGGGGCCGAGGTGGCAAACAACATTTGAATGTTGCACAAATGCATTACTTCCAGTCACATAGAATACTCACGTGATCATCTGAAGCCGACAGCAAATAACCATTCAGATTCGGATTCCACGACAATCCGTACCCTTCTTTTTGATGACCGCGTAATCGGAGTTCTGGTCGACACGAACCAGATGGATCTGGTTTGCTCGGATGCTTCGTGTAGTCAAACACCAAAACATCACAATTCGGTGTCTTTGTGGCGATAACACAAGGATTTTGAGGCATATAACGAGCTCGATTCACTTCACCCTCATGATTGATTTTTATGTTAATTTCGATTTTACCAGTAACAGCACCAAATCCACCAAATTCTGAAAAGAAGAAACGGTTGAGAGGAGAACTACACTCAAATATGAAATGAGAATTGCAGATAATTAAGAAAAACAGAAGCTACCTACTAGGATAAAGCAAGCCTTTTCACATCTACGGTGGATAGCAATGTAAACGTACGCGCTGCAACAGTTCGTTTATGCACGCTGTTAAGGGATTTACGTGTACAGTTCAAACTAAACATCACATACTTTCTGACGTTCATAACATCGAATTGCAGCCGTTAGGTTAGACACAGACGGTTTTAGATTTGACGATTGTTGAGTTTGCATTTTGTCAATTGCAGTGCGAAAAACAAGAGAGCACGATACAGGTGAAACACGGATCGAGAGATTTGAATCACACGAATAGATGTTTTGTGGAAATTTGCGTTACTGGTAAATGAGAAATGCTAACCTGAGAATGCGATAAAAATGGATGAATCCAGCAAAACAGCGCCTTCACCCTCGATCTTGTCTTTGGTGAGACAACAAAATAATGGCAACGGCTTTGTGCAGTGGAAACAAACCGACAGTAGTGGCGATCTTGATATAACTTATTATCGGTCTAGAATGCTTGAAATAATGTGTATGCGCAGTTGGACTGTGTACTCTGCGTGTTGACCCGGAGGATAGCTTACTTTTCCCGTCCCTATGAGTTTGGCAGCTATCAGTAGTTCGCTTCACTTTATTACGCTGGCCAATGTGGATGATGACAGTGTCAGCTACTTTTGCCGATCATTCGCAAAAAGAAAAATTGCTACACTGTCTTGCCATATAGATGTTTTAACAAGACTTGGGAAATGCCGCATAACTTAGGCTAGTTTCGCTGAGCTGAAATAAATAAAGACAACTGTTGTCGAACAAGTAATTCCCCTTAAATGGAGGATCTGTGCGCTATGGGTTGGTGTTGACGCGTAATCATTTTTACAGGCTGCGGTACTTCTATTTTTATTGTATGTCATCAGTGACTCCTATCGGTCATTAAAATAACGCAGTACGGTCGACTCTGCAAGGGAAATGCGATGCACCTAAATTAGGGAGAATTTATAGGTGAACTAGAACAAACCTAGTTCTACTTTGCGGTAGACCAATGTCATGAAAACAGATAATCAGGAGTAGTGGTAGTAGCGTCGTATTTCCTTTTATTGTGGTTGACCTGGGTAACCAGGCAACATTACTCCTTCTAGCAAATCATGGGCCTTTTTTGTTATAACGATTTATTTACCGTGGTTTGTTTTGGGGCATTCTGGACCCAGACGCGTGACGAATATATGGTGATAATAATAAATGTATCGTTCGTACTAGAAAAGGAGGAGTTCTCGAAGTGATTGCAGCTCGAGTTTAATATGCATGATGTCCGTAATTGAATGAAGTGACTGTTCAACCTTTATTCATCCATCCAACGGTGGACACACGGCTGTGTTCGATGCCCAACTGAGCCGCAAATCTTCACCGGTAGCTGTTCAGTGAATAACGTGTGGAGTAAGAATGAACAAAACAAATTAACCGGGAGCGGAAAGAGCGAAACCAGTTAGAGCACTCAGTAAGATGGAGACCACCATCAGCAGCATAAAAGTGAATGATGAGTACAACTTACCACCTCTTTCTGTATCGTAGTTATTTGGATCGAACTGGGCATTGTCGTTGGGGATGAGTACACTGGCAATGAGCAAATGATTTTGTTCATCGGAAGTATGCGTGCCCAAGATCAAGCGGTGTACGGAATAATCTTTGCCTTCGGAGCTGAAAGTGACAGAAATGAACAACAGCAAATATGAAAAGGAGATACACCCGTATAAGGCAAAGGCAGTTGCGGCTTAAGAAGTGAGGAGAGAACGAACCCAATAAACGACACACTAATCACAAAATACTAACGTTCGAACGGTATTTATCTTAGTCAATATTTAAACATTCATCTTCCAATTTGGTTTCTCAAACTGGTTTTACCAGTAGTAAACAAGAATGCCTATTAGAACAAACAAGGTTGCAGGAGAAGATAGCACGATAACTGACGTAACAGCCGGACCCCGAAATGAACCAAGATTCAGTAGTCAAAATGTGTGATAAAAAATCTGTATTTCATCCATCGGGTGTCTACCTCGAAGTAAGATCAAGTTGAGGTACTGGAGGCGCAATATCGATCTGTTGGTCGTTGACGAACAGCTGCTGAGCACCTGACTCTGAGAGGGTACAGAAGGCTTTTGCTTTCGCTGTGGTGGCATGGTTCGTATCCACGGTTGTCGACGAGTGAGTGATAGCCTTGAATGGAATGGTAGCCAATGGCAAAGTGGTCGATCTGAGTTCACTGTTATAAAGAGGTAGAGAGTTTCTGTGAGGTGATATCGTTCCTTGAGCGAGCTGTTTCCCGAAAGGAACAATTCGTGGTTTTCCCAAAGTTGAAGTAGGCGATTACCGCTCTTTGGGCTGTGAGAGGAAACAAGTTCCAAATGAATGGTGTGAATCGGTCATCATGCCGGTTTACAAAATGACAGATCCTCTTGTGAAAACCACAAGAGAATTAGTTTAATCATTGTCTCTAAAGTTATCGCTGGCATCATACCCCGTCGATCGTAGGCCGCACGCGCGAGAATCAGGTCGAGGTTGTATCGACCACATCTCTACTCCGCCAAATTTCAGAACACAGATACTGCTTTCATAATCCCACCATCTCTATCTTTCCCTATCTGAAAGCGATTTTTGACTCGAACTACCGCTCTATACCCTAGGACTATCTCGCTCTAAAGGGTGTGCCCGAGAAATTTATTGGAATTTTGCTCATGTTGATAGCCCAAGCCGAGTCCGAGATCACTACGGATGGTGGCGTTCGTAAGGATTGCCGCACACACCCTCCCACCTTTTCTATTCAGTATTAGTAATGAGACCGTTGGGCTGAACATTTCAAGGTTCAGTTCAACTGGCCCCCATCAGCATCTGAACGATCACTGTCCACCCCGAAAGGGCCAGTTGATGCCAATCCTCTACCTGAAATGGAGGTTTCCCGGGAAATAAGTTAGCTAAAAACTCTGGAGCACCGACATTCCTTACGTACACCTACCATCTCTGTCTTCCCGGATCTGAAAGCGGCTTTCGACTCAGTCGACCGATCTAAACTCTGGCGCTGCCTTTCTCTGAAAGGTGTGCCGGAGAAGTTTATTTCAATATTGCCAACTTAAAGAAACAGGATATCGATAGACTGTCGGTGTTCGAGCACCGCTGTCTACGCAGCATTGTACGAACCTGGTGGGGCAGCCGGATGAGCAATGCTGAGGTTAGGCGCAGAGTATTAGGTAAATGCGGTCGCCCACTAAAGCAAGTGAACGACCTCCATAGATTACGTTGGTTGGGGCATGTGTTACGCATGTCACCAGATAGGTTGCCGCGTCGAGCGATGTTCGCCGAGGCAGGTAGTGGGTGGAAGAAAGTCAAGGGTGGTCAAGCTAGGACCTGGAATGAGGGTATGAAAACCCTAACCATGAGTTTGGGTCACATAGGTCCCGTTGGGCTCCCTGGATGGGGACCTCGCGATGATCATACCTAATGGTTAGAGACACCGAGTGATGTGGCTGAGTGTCGTAAACAGTGGCGTTCGTGCATCTTGTCGATTTCTCTGCAAAATTAGTGCAATGAAATCCTAAATTTTCTCTTCGATCCTACTTTCAACCTTTCCTGTCTTTCTCGTCATGTTCATCCAAATGGGCAGCCAAAAGACAGCAACCAATACCGACGCACGATAGTGCATGGTTAATGGTTGTAGAAACTGAAACTGATGGTCATAGATTTAATTCTTGAGATAGCTCTATCCTCGTGCGAGGGTTGTCATCGATTTGCTCGCAGACTGTCTGAGTATGCAGAAGACATAGGGCTGTCAAGTGAAAAACCAGCTACGTCGAAAGCTTTTCCGGATAGTTTGGGTGCAAATGTAGCCATGTTCGGCATGTTTTGAACCTTAAAAACGTAAAATGTTGCTACAAGATGGAGTCGATCCAGCCCCAACCTCACTCTAACTACGGAATTAGTAGAGGAAGTCGACAAAGCTTGCCATTTGGGCAGTCATGTCTCACCTGGCGGACGCGTTAGTGTCGGAACGCATACAGAAGACTTGATTGGTATTTGCCAACATCTGTGGCATCGTCGCGATATCCCGTTGTCTGTGAACGATTCAGTGTATATTACAGCAGTTTGGCCAGTTTTGATCTACGGTGCAGAGACTTAACCATTACGGAAACAGGATAAAAAATACTGTTAGTGTTCGAACACCGCTGTCTACGCAACAGTGCACAAGTCTGGTGAAGTCGGAAAAACAATGCTTTTAGACGCACAGTTTTAGGTAATCCATCCAATGGAGCAACACTGCGAGCGCCAACTGTTGCTGCTGCGAAGTGAAGTAGGAGGATGAAGTTCTGTCAGGAGAACGCAGGGTGACAGTTGTATGCGTGTTTCGCAGACAACGAACGTCTAACTTCAGCGTTTCAAGGGTACTGGCCAAGGCAGTTTGTTGACCAATCGGAAAGTTTGCGGACAATGAATGGGGTTAAGCAAGACTTTTTTCTTTCAGTTCGTAGAACGATTAATCATGCACTTTCGTGCGCCGGTTTTCGTTTGTCTTTTGGCTACCCAATTGGATGAAGCACCAGAAGACAGGAAAGTTGAACGGAGAATCGAAGAGAAAATGGAGAATTCTAGCGGACTGAAGCCGCAAATAAATTGAGATGCACAAGGGTCAGTGTTCAGGACACTTAGCTACATCAATTAGTAACTGACTTCAATGAATGACCAGGTAGAAGCGAAGCATAATATAAATAAAACGACAAAAAGCAGCAGAATAGTGGGTTAGACATACCGAGTAACCTCCGGCAACCACTGGGCCGTCAAACTTGGCCATTCCAGAGCATGAGTCATAACCATGTCGTAGAGGAAAGGAGTATTCTTTTTCCATATTTTATACTCCTCGTTGATGACTCGCTCTTCAACACCGTCCTCGTAACCTGAAAAACAACAAGAAACGTTGCAGTATATCATGAGTTCTCCACAATATCATGGACTGAACAAACCCCTGCAAAAGACTGAAAGAATATCACATGGNCATGGTGAACAACATTATTTCTAGCTATTTATGACAAAAATATTAAAAATCAACATTAATTGACAAAATCAATACCACATTGAAACGACTGGAGCAACTGCATCAAAAAACCAAAAAGGAGCATTGGAAAGAGCCAAAAACGGTTACCGCACAATTCTACCGACTGCCGAAGGTACACAAGGAAGGAATCCCCCTGAGGCCGATCGTCTCCCAGTCGCATACACGTTGGTAAAATAATTACGGAAAAGACTGTATCCGCTCATCGCAGACACGAGTATAGAGTCATGAACTCAAGGCAGTTCCTGGACAAGCTCGAAACTGTCAACATCCAAGAAGACGAAATAATGATCTGGTTCGACGTCACCACTTTGTTCACTTCCGTCGACTTGGACCTAGCA